AAAGCAAAGAATACAGACAATAGCTACTCCTTTTAGTATTGAAGCAACATTCTAGCTTCCCCCTCCTTTTCAAGTTATTTTAAAACAAATACAGCTCTGCAAGTCTCTTTATGAGCAATTTACAAGGTATAAATCAAAGCTTGCATTTAATACTCATTTTTATAAGTTATTACAGTAATACACATCACCATTAGTCTCGCTCAAAATACACCCCAATGCTTCCAGCACACTAATCAGTAGATATGAAATTTCTTTTTATTGAGTTGCACTGTTGGGGCTGCCTCTATGTCCTGAACCGATTGAAAATATTTACCTTTCATGATAATCCTGACTTTGAGGAAGAGTCAGGAGTCACACAGCACGAAATCCAATACATAGGGTGGATGAGGACACACCATTATGTTTTTATGAGCCTGCTTTCTCATTGGATAGTACTTGGCAGTAGTGTTCACCCTACTTCTTTTTAATCACACTTCATAAAGATACGAAAGAGGATCTCAGAACTTTTCAAAAAGTGGCAAGAATGATGTGATAAATGTGCTCAAAGCAAAGGCAATAGTTTCAGAGGCACTGTAGGTACTGTGCCTTTTTTATAATAAACTCTTTTTCTTTAGCTGTTCATGGTACATTTTGATTGAATCTCATAGATTAGGTGAAGAAAAAACTTAAGAATATACTGCCACTCTGAAGATTGCCATTAACTTCTCTTCACCATAGGCTTCTTTCAAAGTTTATGTTTATCTTACTGGTTTATATTGTCTCCTGATAAGCATGGAATGTGGAAGGAAAAGATGGAAATTAAATTAAATAATCTGTATAATTTATACTAGAAGAAATCAAGCCCAAATCCACTAAATGAATATCTCTAGGTCACAAGTATGATCTTAAAAAAAGAATAATGTCCAATCTTGCGTCCATCACAGCAGAATTCAGCAGGTCTATGCCCACTTACATTAATATCACCGGGTTAGAAAAACTACCCATTTCTTTTTATTCACACACAAAAAACTTTTAAAACCCTCACCTAATATATTTTTTGTTTCATTTCTTCCTCGTTAATCTCTTCAGACTAGTTTAGAGAAAACAAAGAAATTATAAACATTTTTGTGAATGGGATTTCTTTAATGTTTATGATGCAGTGTGTACTAATGAAATTACCACTAGACTCAAAGTGGTAACACAATGAAAAATTTGCTTTTACTTTTTTTTTCTTAATAGGATAAAATTTTAAGAGGTATTTTAAGTGGAAGTAAATGATCCAAATTGAATTAGAAAATATATTTATGGTTTTGAATATAATCATATTTTATTATATTGCAAATTTAACTATATTTCATGAGAATGTATTTATTTTACTTGTAAATGGGAACCTCGACTAAAAGACCAAATACAAGTTTAAAGTTTGGCGTTAATATGTAACACAAAGACAAAGTTATGATAAAAAATTCAGAATTCTTTGGTCTGAGAAAAAATATAACTTCTCTTTGGTTTAGTCTACATGGCAAAAAATGCATAATTTAAAGTCTAAAACATTTTCCCTGATGGAATTTATATTCAGTAAAAGGTTAAGTAAAGAAAAATGTAAAGCATAGGCACTTACTGCCATCTTGTGGAATATTTGTTACTATATCCTGAAATACCTTTTCTCCTGTATTTTCTGGGATGTCATTTTTTGTTAATATTAGTTACCAAAATGACTCAAGAGTTCCATGTCAACCAACGAGAACTCATGTCCTTCTATAAATCAGAACATGAGAAGACTCATGCACTTTGCCTCACGAAGATTGTGAAGGTTCAGTTTTTTAACCATTCTTTATTTCCAGTAATTTACTTATGTCTACTTTCCCATTTTGTGAATTTAAAATACATTTAATTTACTATATTTTATTATCATGAATTCCAAATGGAAGAAAGGCAATGTTAGCAGAGTGTTAACTGGAAAATAAAAGAACAAGGCACACGGTGTATTCTGGCACACTTCGGCAGTCTGGGTAACCAGAGCGATTGTTGGAGGGCAGGTCCTTAAGACAAACTTTGGCCCTAGGAATAGATAACCTGGGAGCTTATAAAACTGCAGAAACTTGGACCCCCTCCTCAACCTTCTAAATTAGAGCTTGCATATTTGGAGCTCCCCAACTGAGTCACACACACAGTAAAATCTGAGAAGCACTAATATAAACCAACGGATTTCATTCCACTTACACTTTTACTGCAGCAGAACACACACACCCAGACACACACACACACACACACACACACACGAGTTTCCTAAAGTTAAAAACCAATATACTTGCTCTTTCCACTGATCCAAACCTTCTCCACACACAAAAAAAATTAAAAGACGTGGATTCAGCACCATGTTATTTAATTTTGTGCATCTGAGGTCAAGCCCTAGTAATTTAATTTTTGTGTATCTGAGGTATTTCATCTATAATGTAGATGAAGGTATTCATAAGATGATTCTGATATCTCTTCACATTCTAAAAAGCTTTGATTAATTATTTATGAATGAATTGTTCACTTGGTTAGATATCCATGCATCACTTATTCACGCTTCAGCAAATTGATGGATTGTTTGCCTTGGTAATTCTGATATCAAGCCAATGATTAAGTTTTACTTTCATAGCTTGCAAACTAGTAGCTTAGTAGACATTTTGTCTAGTAAACAATGTATTTTTAAAATTGAAAATTACATACTGATAGTTTAAAAATGTTTTCCTTTCAAATCTATAGATTTTTCAGCTTCCTTTCTGTACTCAGGATATCCACTGAAGCTAAGTCACATTTCCATAAGGAAAGTCATGACCTATGTCTGGATCCCTGCTTGCCCCAGTCCTTCCCACCTCTATTCATTTCCAATAAGTCTGGTCCTAGTTTGTCATGGAGTCAGCAAACTCTGACTTCAATGATCTTCTCAGCCAATTCTTTTAGCATCTCCAGAAGCTATACTAGATTCAGTGAAAAACTAAAGTCCTTGGCAGGTGTGGTTGTGTACACCTGTAATCCCAGCACTTGGGAGGCTGAGGCAGGAGAATCATTGTGAGTTCAAGACCAGCCTGGGCTACAAAGTGAGCTCAAGTCTGGCCTGAACTGCTTAGTGAGACCCTGTCTCAAAAAGACCAAGAAATAAATAAATAAATAAATAAATAAAGTCCTTCACAAGGGCAAATCACCAAGGCAGAATGTTGTACTGCATTGTGACATGAATATCCTTTAGATGTACCACAGGACTCTTTTGCAGCTGTTAGGTATTCCTAGCATTAGACTGAGGATTGGCAAGTCTACACCAGCCCAACTTACTAATTTTCCCATCTTGTAAGAATTTTTACACCTTCACATGTACAAAGCACAGCCAATTCAGTCCCCTCCACAGTTAAAGGTAACCGCTAAGCGTATGCTATAGACGAGGAGACTGTTTCTCTATCCTCTCATAGTCACAGACTGGACCCAAACATTAGCTCCACAGCAGCAGGAGACAAGCGCTCGGCTTTGCCAGACTTTCCCATGTACAGGGAAGTCCTCACCAATGACATGTTACTCCCAAAGGAGTAACCAGGTGAGACTGTTCAGATATCTTTTAAATAAAGAAATGATGCATTTCTGAAGGAGAAGAGGTTAGGTGCATTCAGCTAAGGGTAGTGAACTAGGGGCACATGATAAAGAACCACGTTGAAAGAAACTCACAGACTAGAAGAGTTATTTTAGTAAGTTTGTTTGTGCAGGTCTGTTTTAGCCTTGATTCCTTAGCTTGTGAAGATGAGTGTTCTTCTCTTCCTGGTCCAGGCAGGGCACTTCTCTTAGGGGAAACTGTATGGCCTGCTTTTAGACGGAAAAGAGAATGTCAGAAAGCCCTTCTTGTGCCTGCTGTGTCTCAGGTGCCTTCAGCTCAAAGCAATCAACAGGCCAAGACGACAGGTCCAGATCTCCTGCAATGCCAACAAGAAGAGGCCACATCATTGGTTTTTCTAGAGAACAAAAAAAAAAAAACCTTTGGTTGTTGGTAAGGACTTTTCATGCAGCAAATATTTTTTGAAAGGGTGATAACACACTTTGAAATAAGACAGACATAATCCTTACTCTCATAAAACGTAGTGTTACAGGGAAGTCTTACAATTGAACTAGTTGTTCCAGTAATCAGTGGTAGTGTTTATGACAGAGGGTGCCATATGTCTTATACAGAGGGCATGGGCTGGTCTAGGGGTTGGAAGTGTTTAAGGGATCATAATAGCCCTTAAGCTGAGACCTAAGGCATAACAGCTCTTTTGGGGAAAAAAAGTGAGAAAAAGATCTCTCCAAGGAAGGAATCGCATGTATAAAGCTTAAAAGCAGAGAAGAGAAAGGAGTGAACTTAGAGATAAACAATGCAGCTAGAGTGGAAAGAAAAAGGAGAAAGCCTGATGCGCAATGAGCCTAAAGAGGCAGGGCAGCTTCTAAACATCGCACCTTCTCCTGAGATGAGGGGAGGCCACTGAAGGAACCCAAGTGATGGGTCATTCTGGACCCTTTAAAGTATGATCACACCATGCGCCCATAACCAAGTGCTTGAATAGTCACGGAAACTGAAGATCTCAGATGGACTAATCAGTGACCAAATCCCTGGATTCTAGGTCCATATCTGCTATGGTTACATCTGTGGTCAAACTGATAGGCCTTTTCCACTTGTGCTTTTGAAGGTCTCTAGGGTACTTAAAAAAAGAGACATGCCTAAACATGGTGACAATAAAAATGTTATATTTCATTTATTTACATTTAGCAAATTAATGCTTATAACCATTAACCACAGCTATATTATTTGATGTACACTACATATTTCGCCAAAGTGATTAAATATATTAAGTCATCATGCCCTGGAAGCACAGGGACTTGATAATGAGGCATATGCTCCCCTCCTTTTTTTTATAGCATACTGTTTTTCAACCTTATCATATATTTCTGTCACAATGTACACAAAGTCACTTGGAGATAATGTCCGCAGTCTAACTCTGAGCTATGGTGATTGGAGTAAGGCCTGGCCAAATAGCCCGCTGGTCCCTAGAAACAAACCTCGCTGTGTGCATGAGCCAGTGCTACCGCGGCGACACTTGCTCATGGGTGGACAGCAAGCTGAGCACATTATCCCTGGACCTGAAGGCTGCAAGCCACGCTTGTCTGACTGATCCTGCTGCTTCTAAGCAGTACACCACTGGGTGACTCATTTAAGATCGCACTTCAGTGTTATTGAAGCATTCTTTATGTTCAGCCAACTTATTTCTACTGTACTTCATGCAACCACTAAATATCGCCAGGCAGCCTGCTGTTGGAAATTCGCTGACCGTGCTGGCCTGGGCACACTGGTGGCTCACAACGAGTTGCTGGTGGTCTTGCCTTGACAAGCAGTAAGTGTAAGATGCTTAGGCAGCCAGACATCAATGCAGATCACAGAACTGCAGAACTGTGGCTTGAAAGGCCTAACCCTACCTATGGTTTTAAAGATGAAAACTTAAGCCCAGAGAAATCCCATGTTGTTCTCCTATGACACAACCAGCCAGAGTCAGCGCTAAGATGAGAGTTCTCAGCTCCAGAGGCCTGGAGCATTACGTTCTGTGCTAGCACTTTCTGTTGATTCTTGAAATAAACAAGCAAAAGGCAAAGCAAGAAGTTCTAAGATTGATTCTAATTGCCTAATTGTCTAGGAAAGGGCTGGCAAATCACAGTCTGCAGGGTAAATCTGCCCCAACACTTGCTTTTGTAAATAAAGATTTATTGGAACATGATCACTCTCATTTTTAAAGTATGACCTACTGCTGCTTTCACTGAAAGAAGACTTGAGTAGTTGCTACGGAGTCCATATGGCCTCTAAAGGCTGGATTATTTATTATCTAGATCTTTAGAGGAAAAAGCTGATCCTGGTATACTACAAATAACATTGGCTTGGAAGTAGAGTTGTGTTTTATTTTTCTAGGTTTCTTTTATTTCCTGTAGATTTCTTTAGAGCCTTTGAAAAAGAGCAACTGGTCAGAGCAAGAATGTTGAATAAGAGAGAAAAATGAAACTACGATTTAAAATCTCACTGGACTATGCAGAGTACCTATTCCATGTATTAATTACAGAACATTGATAATACTGGGGGAGTTGAGAGTTCCCTTTAATCTGAAGACCAGCTATAGCAGCAAAAGTTTCTGTCTAAATGCATGTGCAGAACTACCTAAAAAGCTACCTTTAATTAAGCTTCTACTATGTGTTATGGACTGTACTAAGCACTTAATAAATATTATACCACTAAATCCACTCAGAAATTCTACAAAATGGGTTTAATATTCTCAGTTCCATTGATAACAAAGTTATTTTATTTCTTCAGAGAATTCAAGTAACTTTCCAAAGTTCACCCAGAAACTAAATGGCAGCACCAGGACTCAAAATAGGCTGGTCAACCACCGAAGCTTGGGATCCTGACCCCCATCACTTCTTAAAACAATCATTGGTGGGAGTACCTCCAAGCTCTTTGGTAAGCACTAGATGTGATGGTACAGTGTAGGAAGCTGTTTTATTGGTCAAGGTTGAACCCAGCACAACTCTATGGATCTCTGCTTAGTCCTATCACTTTGACCTTGATTTGGGAACCCAGGAAACCAGATCTGTGAGTATCTGAAAATACAGAGAAAAGCAGGAGAAAGTTCCAGAATCAGGACTACATAGACCGGCAAAGACAAGCCTGAGGATCACTGTGGCAGCCGCCCATGAGGCACTGCAGGTGGCCCCATCCCTAGTCTAACCAAAGCTCTTCCTGCTGCTGCCACATTTACATTCACCCAACTTCACCTGACAAGAAGATGGGGATCAGGCAGGCCTGGCAGGATTGCCCACAAATGTGGTCTACGTCCTCCAGTGGGAATCAGAGTTTCCGAAAGACATATGAACTATCAAGCAACTATAGGTAGTAACTTGCTACAAAGAATTTGAATCTCTTTGCTCCAGAATGTTAGGAGTTAGGCAAAAGCCACATTCAGTGAAGTTGATTACAAATAGCACACAGAAATCTGAAATCTCTCAGAATTAATTTGGATTGACGCTGTTTTAAGAACTGCACAAATTTTAGCTACCTTTTCTGCCAGCACACATCTTCATAACCTGATTTTACAGCTGTTTTAAAGTTTAGTGGATGGTTCCCTGTTTTCATGCTATTTAACATCGTGAGTTACACAGTTTCATGCCAGTTACCTGTCATAAGAGCCTTACCCTAGTCAAATTGTGAAAGGGATGTCTCTTCAAGTAGGAAAATATTTTTCTCTCTTTTAACTCTAGACATCTGAACCAGAAAAATCACTGTAAGTGATGAAATGCTTGGTGTGCAAATCGACTCTCTGGGTACCTGTGGAGAGACTCACATCCCAGGTAAACAACTCTTCCGGCCCCCTGGTCAGGACCTCTCAGGCGAAGTCCCTTCCAGGCAGGTAGGAGTTGAGAGGAGGCAAAAGCAGCTGTGTGCAGTGTAGCTTCAAAAGGCAGAGAAATAACTAGACAGATATGCCTCGAGGCAGGTCCTCCACAGGAGAAAGCTTACCAGACAGGCAACAGTTCTTTCCCGTCTGGAAAATAAGGTACAACTCACAGGCACTAAAATTCTGACTGAGAAAACTCCCTCCGCGTGTCCTGCAGGGCTGGTCAGCATGAGGCAGGCAGGACCACGGGGCACGGAACTGAGCTACAGAAGTCCGCCCTGAGGCTCCTTTCAACATGCTATGCTGTCTTTCACCGTAATGATGTTTCCAGAAGAAAAATAATCCCTTTTACCGAAGTACTAATTTAGACTCTGAGGCTACGCTCAGTTATCCTGTATTGACGAGATAAAGAAAAGGGTGTGTTTGCCAGTTGGGGAATAAATACCATTGATGCCTCTGTGCCTGTATTCATGAGAATTTTTTTCTGCACACACAGCAGCCCAATTAATGATTCTTATCATCTCATCTTGCACGTACAACTTCTGATACCTAGGGAATCACTTTATAGAGAAGACAATTAGAGACATTTCTTTTTAGAGAAGACAGAGACAGCAGTTTTGAAAGAGAATGGATACACATAGCTGGTGGAGTATTTAAAACAGCTATAAGAACAGCAGCTTCAGATTCTTGACTTTCTGCAGGTGACATGGACCACAGATAACACTGATCACAAGGTCTTAAGTCTGTCTTGTAAGCACCATTTGAGATTACACACTGGTTAGCCTTTTCTGGGAATTTAGAAATTGTAAAATCTCAAACAGCCCACAACAGCTGACAGGGTAATTGTGACTGACTTCATGCCCAATGAGATAGACACAGGAAGACTGAAATGGTTGCTTAGTGTCATGTTGCTCTAAATCTGGTGTCTCTAAAACAAACAGGAATGTAGATTTAGTCCCATTAAAAAATGTATTTTACAGGAGTATTTACCTACTCAGAGTTTCCTGAGGCTAATAAAATTCAAATCTTCTAAATCTAGTAACACCCCAAGTCTGGACACTACATTCAGCTTCAGGGCAAGTGACATTTCTAAGAGCTTGTCTGTATGACTCAGTCCAGGAAGTCACTGCCCCCCCAGAAAAAGAGGACCATGAGGGACTAAGTAACGGTAGATAAGAACCCTGGACAGATTAACAAAGGCCTCTCCCTCAGATATGTGAGTGAGACATGAAGACACCCAGAACATCAAGCACAAGAAAAAGGATATATAGTGATCAACACAGGTTGCCTAACTACTGAACATAAATATTATCCAACATGTACACTAAAATGTTGTATGATCAACCAATATCACATGAGGGAACCAGATGATTTGGTGCATAAGTGTGAAAATGTAACAAAATATTACAAAAGGTACAGAGACCAAGTAATTAAAGCCTCTGTGATAAAGACAATAATATGGAAAATGTTGCTGATTCAAAGGAATATATGCTAAATTCCTCCAGTCACATTCCAAGCACATCCATCCGAGAGAGTTATTGATCAGTAAGTGTCAAACAACATTCTCAGCCCTGAAGAGTATGGTGAGTAGTCAGAGTCCATGGTCGGATGGTACATACAGTTTAGTAGAAGAGACAGAGAAAAGTATATATGAGAATGTGATATAAATATACAGAGTGACAGTAGCTCTTTTATACAACAGAAGGATGCACTTTAGCATGACACAGTGGAGGAAATACAGTGAAAATCTGAAGAAAGTTGGTTCCATGAAGTAAAAATAATGAGGACCAAGCTCAGGGTGACTGACAAGATTTAGATGCTCGGGAAATAATAAACAAGCCAGAGTGAGTAACTCAAGAGCAGTAGGAGCTGAAAATTAGACAGATGAGCAAGGGCAACACCAAATGGGGCTTTGGGGTCATGGGAAGACGTTTGCAGTTTCCAAGTGTGCAATTGGAAACTATTGGCACAGGGCAGTGGGGAGTGTCATGATACAATGTTTGTTTTTAAAAGGTTATTTCAGACTATCTCCCAGTAAGAATGGGAGCAGAGAGGCCAGTTCGCATCCTTTTCCAGGGGTCCTGGCAGGAGATGATAGTCTAACGGGGTAGTGGCAGTGGAGAAGGAAATAAGAAGTGGGGAGATGTGGATTTTAGCTTCAGCTTCCCAAGACCTGGGAAAGTTCACAACTACTGTACTTCAAAAAGTGCTATGTAAATGATGTCAGTGCAAGTGTTCATACTGCATGTGTTACTTTTGTGTGTTGC